GTTGAAGTAATTAGACCATTATTTCTCTAAATATTTTTTTGACTCCCTCCTTTCCTTCTTCTCCATGGACTTCTAATACTTGCATATTAGTATGCTTCTTGATGTCTGCTGTGGTCTGAGTGTTTGCGTCCCCTGAAAATTCATATGTTGAAATCTGCCATTAGGAGGTATAGGTGCAAGGTGATTAGGTCATAAGGTCAAGAATGGGATTAGGGCCCTTATAAAAGAGGTCCAAGAAAGATCCCACTCTGTGAGAATATAGCTATCTCTGAGGAAGCAGCCCTACCAGACACCAAATCTGGCTTGATCTTGGACTTCTCAGTCTCAAGAACTGTAAGTAAGAAAGTTTTGTTGTTTATAAGCTACCTAGTTTATGGTATTTTGTTATAGCAGCCTGAACAAATTAAGACAGTGTCCCACAAGTCTCTGAGGCATTAGTCATTTTTCTTTGTTCTTTTTTTTCACCCTGTTCTTCAGATTGGGTGATCTCTATTAACCTACGATAAAGTTTGCTGATTATTTTCTTCCCTCTTAAATCTGCTGTTGGGTCCTTTTGGTGAATTTTTATATTAGTTAATGCATTTTTTTTACTTCAAATTTTCTACCTGGTTTTTCTAATTTTCATGTTTATTCATATGCTCTATTTGATAAGTAAGTGTCATCATTTGTCATGGTATTTTCCTTTTATTTTTATTTATTTATTTTTTTGAGACATAATCTCATTCTATTGTCCAGACTAGAGTGCAGTGGCATCATCATAGTTTACTGGAACCTCAAACTCTGGGCCTCAACTGATCCTCCTGCCTCAGCCTCCTGAGCAGCTGAGAACACAGGTGCCGGCCACCACACCCAACTAATTTTTCTATCTTTTGTAGAGATGGGGTCTCACGCTTGTTCAGACTGGCCTATAATTCCTGAGTTTAAGTAATTTTCTCACCTTGGCCTCCTAGAGAGCTAGGATTACAGGCATGAGCCACCTTACCTGGTCAATTTTCTTTTCTTTTCTTTTCTGCCCTTGGTAAAGCTCACAGCAACCTCCAACTTCTGGGCTTAGGCAATTCTCTTGCCTCAGCTTCCCGAGTAGCTGGAACTACAGGCATCCACCACAATGCCCAGCTATTTTTTTGTTGTAATTTGGCTGGGGCTGGGTTTGAACCCACCACCCTCTGTGTATGGGGCCGGTGCTCTACCCACTGAGCCACAGGCACCTCCCGAATTTTCTTTTATTTTTAAAAATGGCTTCCTTTAACTCTTTGGACATATTTATAACACTTAAAAGTCTTTTGTTTTTTGTCTGATAAGTCCAGCATCTAGGTCCCCTCAGAGACAATTTCTTTCTTTTTTTTTTCTGAGACAGAGTCTTAAGCTGTCACTCTGGGTTCAGGGCTATGGCATCATAACTCACAGCAATCTCAAACTCTTGGGGTCCAGTGATCCTCTTGCCTCAGTTTGTCTATTTTTAGTAGAGATGGGGGGGTCCTCACTTTTGCTTAGGCTAGTCTTGAACATGTGAGCTCAAGCAATCCAACCACCTCAACCTCCCAGAGTGCTAGAATTACAGGCATGAGACACTGCGCCTAACCAGAGACAATTTCTACTGACTATTTCCCTCCCTTGTGTTTGCGTCACTCTTTCCTGTTTCTTTGTTTGTTTTTTTATGTTGAAAACTGGACATTTTAGATACTACTATATTGTTGCAACTCTGGATTCTGAATTCCCCTACTCTGGGGTTTGTTTTTGTTGCTTTTGGTTTTTTACTAAATTGCTGGGGCTAATTCTGTGAAGTCTTATCTCTACCACACTGTGAAAGCACTGATACCCCTGCTTAGCTTTTTCTTTCCTTCCATTTTTGTTTTTATTTTTAAGCCCACCTAGTAGGCACTATTGGGTCAGTATAACTTTTAGTGGTCAGTGATAATGGATCTGTGTATGAGTATTTTGCTTCTGCCGATGTCCTTGGTATGGGATTTTTCCATGCTTTTCTTCAAATTAAGTCTACTGCCCCTCATGGTAGAGTTGTTAGTGCTCACAGACTTACCTCACTCTGGTAGAACTTTCAGGCCATATAAATAGATCTAAGGGTTGAAACTGGAAGCAACTCCAGGTTAACAGACTTTCATTGTTTTTTTATTGAGATACAGTAACTTTTCTTAAACAAATGCTTCTCAATTTATTGTATACCTTTTGCCAATTTCCAAAGTCCTAAAATGGTTTTTTAAATAGTTTTTTCAGTTTTATCATTTTGGGGTAAGGGAAAATGCTGAATTTCTCATCCACCTATTCTGTAAATTTGTCCAAATGTTTGTCTTTTGTCTGTTGATTTGTGACACTTGAAAAAAATCAAGATTAGCTTTGATTCAGATAAGGGAGAAAAAAGAGACAGGAACCCACAAAAGAAAATGGTATGCACCAAGCATAACCAAACCCACAAGAAAGTTTTGGCTTACATCGTATCTCATTCCAAACTTGTAACTAAGAGTAAGTTTAAATTACAGCTAAGTTCAGGTTCTAAACTCTGCAAGCAGCAGTTGTATGTGACTGTGGGGAAAGAGTCTTTTTTCTTTTTTTTTTTTTGAGATAGAGTCTCACTATGTCACCCTCGGTAGAATGCGGTGGCATCACAGCTCACAGCAACCTCAAACTCTTGGGCTTAAATGATTCTCTTGCCTCAGCCTTCCAGGTAGCTAGGCTGGGACTACAGGTGCCCACCATAACACCCGGCTAATTTTTGGTTGCAGTTGTCATTGTTGTTTAGCAGGCCCGAGCTGGGCTTAAACCTGTCAGCCTCAGTGTATGTGGCCTGCACCCTACTCACTGAGCTACAGGTGCTGAGCCTAGAGAGTCATTCTTTTAAATATAATACTGGTTTTCTTTTCTTTTCTTTTCTTTTTGTTTTTTTGTTTTTTTGTAGAGTCTCATTCTGTGGCCATTGGTTGAGTGCCATAGCATCATCATAGCTCACAGCAACTTTAAACTCTTGGGCTTAAGCAATCCTCTTGCTTCAGCCTTCAGAGTAACTGGAACTACAGGCACTCACCAAAATGTCTGACTAATTTTTCTATTTTTCAGTAGAGACAAGGTTTTTTTTTTGAGACGGAGCCTCAAGCTGTCACCCTAAGTAGAGTGCCATGGCATCACAGCTCACAGCAACCTCCAACTCCTGGGCTCAAGTGATTCTCCTGCCTCTGCCTCCCAAGTAGCTGGGACTACAGGCACCCATCACAACACCCAGCTATTTTTTTGATTGCAGCTGTCATTGTTTGTCTGGCCCGGGCTGGATTCGAACCTGCCAGCTCAGTTGTATGTGGCTGGTGCCTTAGCCTCTTGAGCCACAGGCACCAAGCCATGGGGTCTTGCTTTTAATCAAGCTCATCTCAAACTCCTAAACTCAAGCAATCCATCTGCCTTTGCCTCCCAAGTGCTAGGATTACAGGCATGAGCCACCATACCTGGCCAATACTGTTTATTTGGAGCTAAAGTTTTTTGATAAATCTTTAGCCTATAGTTATCCATTAATTTAGGCTAAATTTTATAAGCACAATGCAAAAGAAAAAACACGATCTCATTGTTTCATGTTTTTTTTCTTTCAGTATCTAGAGTTACTTTATGGAAAACTTGGAAAGAAAGAGTTACAAAGCGACCTGGGACAGCCCATGCTTTAAGGGCAGATCAGCTGATTAGTGACCAATATGCAACAAATACAAAAGTTTCAGAAATCCAAGATATGCTACAAGAACTCATAGACACTGCAATGTTCAATAAATTGGAAAATAGTGCTATTAAATATATATCATCAACAATACTGAACCTTTCCAAAGCTTTGAGTATGGTAAATGATGAATTAAAGGCTATTAACATACCAACTTACAAGATACATGTAGGTGACTCAAGTGATAAAGAAAAAGAGCTCACCATGAAGATAATAGAAGATCTCACTGGAGAAAATGAAACGCTTCAGCAAAAACTTCAAGTAGTAGAAGAAAAGTGCGAACAACTTCTTCGAATAAAAGCTGCTACAGAACCACCTATATATACATCACTAACCTGGAAAATGTTACCTGGATCTTCTCCACAGGCATCCAATGCCTTTATGAAAGGTAGTGACATAGATGATGAGATGGAACGTATTTTAGCCAAAGAATTTGGAAATGCTACAGATGAAGTCCCCCCAAAAGGGACCAAAGGCCCTGGGAAAAAGTGGGGCCCACCTATTTTACAAACATCTCAATCTGAAACGAGTCTCGATTTACCAGAACAGCAACAAAATTTACCCGAGAAAAAAAAGAAAAAGGCTCCTGAAGATAGTTCTGAAGATATCATTAAAGATAACATACCACTGAAGAAAGGTGATGTCTTTCAGACAGATGGGACTGACAAGTATCAATCACAGAATAGGAAGTATGCAAGAGACTTACATATCTTTGAGACCTCTAGATCAAATCTGAGCAATAATAAAAGTGAACAGAAAGTTTCAGAGGCCATACCTAATCAATTCTCTGAGACACAAACACTGGAAAGGAAATCCATTTCCGAAGCCAAATCAAAGTCAGTCCCTGAATCACAAAGCCAACATTTCCTTTCTACTGAAACAAAGAATCAAGGTGACAAAAGTAGGAACATTACTACAAGGGAGAAAATTGAGAAAGTCAAACAGGAATATTCACTTCTCAAAAGCCCAATTTCATCAGAGAGTAAAGCGCAGCCCACCACTGAGTCAACAAAAGAGGGTAAAAGTGAGGTAAGTGGCCAAGTGGAGCCACACGGTATGACTCAATCTGACTCTGAGCCACAAAAAGGAAAAAGCTACCACATCCCTTCAGGAACTACCATAAGCAAAGAAGAAAAGACCAAAGAGAAGAGATCACACTTAAAAGAATCCACCAGAGTTCTAGAAACCCAAGATGACAAAAGTGAGCACAGTAAGGTAGAAGAATTTCAGAAAGCCATAATGACTTACCTAAAAGAGAAAATTGAAAACCTAGGAAAGCCTTTTGACCAAAAGACTATGCTGAAGGAAGAGGCGTTATTAAAAAGAGCAGAAGCTGAAAAATTGGAAACCATAAAGGCAAAAATGGAGGAATATTTCCAAACGGTGGGTGAAACTGTGACTAAATTCTTGAGGAAATACAACGATCTTAAAAAGGAAGCAAATGTTGGAAAGAAACCTATGGAACAAAAAAAGACAGTCTCATTCATGGCAGGATCACATTTTCAGAAGTCACCAATTAATGCAAAATCTGAAAGTAGTAAATTCCTCTCACCTGAGAGCGCAGATCCAGTAATTAACAAATTAATACAAACGATTGTGGCTGAAATAGAAAGTAAAGGAGCTACTTCAGCAGTCCCTCTAGTAGAGAAAGACCACAAGAAGAAGGAAAAACAAAGGCAGGAGCAATATTTGCAAGTGGGTCAAGAAAAAAGTTCTGGCGTAAGTCTCAAACAGCAGCTTTTAGAAGAAATAAATCTCTCAAGCAAGAATTATGAGAAGATACATAATGTGGAGGGTGAAAAGTCACGGCGCCAAATGAAGGGTGGAAAGCAAAGACAACAGAAGCAGGAAAAAGTAGGGAAGAAAGACCAAAGACAGAACATTCAAAAGGAGATTGAGCAAGAGGAGAAACAAAAGCAAAGGGGAGAAGAGGAAGAAGAGCACCAGAAGCTAAGACAGGAGTACATAGAAGCACGGGAGCAAAAAATGAAAGAGCAAGGGATGCTCTTGGAAAAGGAGAAGGGAGAGATGAGTCACTTTCAGAAGGAAGTAGGACATATGGAGCTGAAAATGAGTTGGGAGAAAGAGCAGGAGAAGCAGAAGACAATGACAGTGATAGAGGACCTGGAAAGGCAGAGGCAGAATGAAGAAATGGATCACGTGAAGACTGAGGAGGAAACACCTGAAGAACTATTTAAAAAAATCAGTCAACCTCCAGGGACAATGTCTTCCACATGGAAGAGATTGGAAGATGAACCCAAGTTATATGAAGAAAAAGATGTCGATAGGAATCTGAGAACTACAGAGATTCTACATGATGGAAAATACTCCACACCAGTAACTTCTTCCGCTTCCCAACAAATGTCTACACCTGAGGCTCTTCCTATTTCAGGACAGCATCCGACACAGTTCATCACTCTCACCCCTCAGCAGGCCCAGGACCTGGGGATCACTCTCACCCCTTCACAGGCTGAGGCTAAGGGGATCACTCTCACCGCTCAGCAGGCCCAGGCTCTGAGCATCACTCTCACCCCTCGGCTGGCCCCGACTCAGAGGATCCCTCTCATCCCTCAGCAGGCCCAGGCTCAGGGGATCCCTCTCACCCCTCAGCAGGACCAGGATCAGGGCATCACTCTCACCCCTCAGCAGGCCCAGGACCTGGGGATCACTCTTACTCCTCAGCAGGCCCAGGCTCAGGGCATCACTCTCACCCCTCAGCAGTCTCTGGCTCAGGGCATCACTCTCACCCCTCAGCAGGCCCAGGACGTGGGGATCACTCTCACTCCTCAGCAGGACCAGGATCAGGGCATCACTCTCACCCCTCAGCAGGCCGAGGCTAAGGGGATCACTCTCACCCCTCAGCAGGCCCAGGCTCCGAGCATCACTCTCACCCCTCGGCGGGCCCCGACTCAGGGCATCACTCTCACCCCTCAGCAGGCCCAGGCTCAGGGCATCACTCTCACCCCTCAGCAGGCCCAGGCTCAGGGCATCACTCTCACCCCT